CAACATAGAAGTAACAACATTGAAGCAATCATGTTATCCCTATTAAGCTAGAACCATAATGAATTTTTGCAACAAATTTATTGTTGTTATACATATAAAATACATGTAGAGAGTTTGAAGTGGATTGACATACTCGAGTTTCTCTGAGATTGAAGAAGAAGTAGTGAATTTGATGATGTTTTCTTGAAATCAAGTAGTGAGAACACTTTTTTTTCTCTTATGATTTTTATTATGTGGGTATAGTAAAGAGAGATTGGGAAAAATGTTTATTAATAGTGAACTAAATTATTACTTTGTTTCCCAAAGCTTTGTAATTGGTATCTCGCTAAGCATGCTTCTACATAGATAATAGAGTTTGCGTTTTCCAATTGTGTTGTTACACAAAACTTGATAACAGAGACTTAGCTTATTCTAGAAGGCGCTTAGCAAGGAAATCTATATTTTACTACACATTTGAGTTTCCAACAACGTATTTTATGAATAATTCAACTAAAGAATCTAACATAAAAGTAAAAAGTTTCAAAACAGCTTGAGTTTCCTCCCAACAAGCACTTTGTTTAACGTCATTAGCTTGGCGCCTTTAATGCTATGTCAATGTCCACTAGCATCCTTGCGGTTTTCATGAAGGGTCTTCCTAAGGTAAGAAGTATCTTCAGACCTTCCTCAATATCTAACAATAAGAAATCTACAAGAAATATGAATTTGTTAATTTTTATACTAACATCTTTGATTATTCCCACTGGATTCCTATGTGTATTGTTAGCCTTTTACAATGTTGTCACAATTGGTTCTATGTTGTGGTCACCAATATTTCAAACTACCATTACTAGAATCAATTCCACACTAGCACCCAAGTCTATGAGTGCATTTCCAACTTTTATATCATCTATGGAAATAGATAATATGACTACACTAGGATCTGATTCCTTTTATGATAGAGTTTGTTGGATATCCTTGAAGCTTTATTCCTGCTTCATCTCCTCTTGCAGATCTTCTGCTTATTGTTTTTTGGCAACAAAAACTTTTTAATTTTCATCAACAATGATTTATGGATCATGCTCTTTTTGATTTTTCTGTGTGTTGGCATTGAAAAACATCTTTGTATTGATCCACCAATTGCTTTACTGGTTTACAAATTTTTGTTTCAAGGTTTTTGATTGAAGCTTCGTTACTCTTTTGGTTGGAAATCGACATCCACATAAATTGGTTAAACATATACTCCAGCTTTGCTGATTTTTCTTGTGGAGGAGCTTGAGTTTAGTTTTAATACAATTTCCTGTTTGAGGGACCAATTTCTGATCTCCATCATTGATTGAAAATTTTTCCTTGGAAGTTGTTGTTTTGATATTGCCTCTACATTTTTTGGTCGCCAACATAGTTGATTTCTTAATCAGTTAGAGGTAAAATTCCATTAAGGTGATCACCGCTACATAGCTCACGAAATGTAACCAACATGTTCTTTGATGCTTTATGAATTTCCTTCAATTGTTGCAGGAGCTTTGACAACTTCTTTATCAACTCATCCACTATTTTTGTCAACAACTTGTTAAGTGCAAGAATTGCATCATTGAAGTTTGACTCAATGATGTCGTTCTTTATTTGAACATGGTTTATGTTGTACCAACCTTGATGATTACTGAGAACCATTTGTTCATTTATTGCAATTGCATCTTCTGTAGTTTTAGGCATTAGAGAACTCCCCCTAACAATAGCATTTAGAAACAACTTAGGTTGTTGTTGTAATCCATTTATGAAGACGTGTATCTGTGTGAGATCATCGAAACTATGGTTTGTGCATTTCCTCCATACAAATTTTTATCTTTCCCACGCTTCAAATATAGTCTCTGTTACATCTTCGGAGAACACAACAATTATTATATTAGCTTCCATGAACTTATTACGAGGAAATAACATATCAAAGAACTTTTCCTGTTCCAGTTGGTCATCACTTGTGTTGGTTGATCAAGATATCATTATTTTGCTTTGTGGATCAATGAATATGGAAACAACCTCATAAATACCACTTATTACTCAATTTCTAGAGCTCCTAATGTACCAGACAACTCATAACATTTCATTTTAGCTGGCATCCGAGCATGACTCTAAGGGTTTTAATTCTTAAAGAATTGTTATAGAAAATATTAAGGAAGAAGCAATGTTAAAAGTAAAAAATCATCACAAAAGGAGGGTGATCAAACAATTCGACATACAATTATGCAAACCCCATTAAAAGTTGATAAAGTGTTATCTATCATCCTCAATACCAAATAATTAGAAATACATCTATGAAATTAGTACCATAACATATTTTCAAAGAAGCAACCAAACATGGCCATGATACGCAAGATGGAACCAAAACCTATAGACGATTCTATTACAAATAAATATTGGATAAATTTATGAAAAGATGAGATATCAAAATTGGAAAGAAATCAAGTTTGGAAGCTTGTTCAAAATTCACAAGGACGATAAATCAAAGGAACTATATTAGTTTTTATAGACCTATATGATAAAGAAGGAAAAATGGTCATGAATAAGGCAAGACTTTTTGCCCAAGGGTATAACCAACGAGAATGAATTGAATATGATGGAACTTTAGCACTCGTTGCTAGGAAAGAAGCAATAAAAAATATTTCATATGCAACACATGAAAGCATACTTTTTTTAAATGGATATTAAAAGTGCCTTTTTTAAATGGATTTTGGAATGAGGAAGTTTATGTTCATCAAACTTCTGATTTTATTGATGAAGATAAACAAAATTAAGTTTTTAAACTTTCGAAATCTCTACACATACTTAAACAAGCTCCTAGGGGATGGTATGAAAGGTTGTACACCTCTCAATAAAAAAAATGCTTTTTCTAAATGTCAAATTGGCACAACTCTATTTAAAAAACTCAATATTTTGATTTACTCGTTGTGCATATTTATGTTGATGATATCATATTTGGTGCCACAAAAGAAACTTTGTGTGAATATTTTTCTAATCTCATGCAAAATGAGTTTGAGATGAACACGATGATGAGATGATTAAGATTTTAGTGTCCTGCAAATCAAGCAACAAGAAGATGGAATTTCATTTATCAAAAAAATTACACTAAAAATCTTTTTAAATATATAATTAGTGAAGAAAAAATCATGATCAACTCATGCATCCATATAACACTTAGACAAAGATGAAAATGTAGAATACGTCTCTCATAAATAATTTAGAGGAATAATTGATCAATGATACATATCATTTCTAGCAAAACTGTAATGGTCATTGCAGTTGAATTATATGAAAGATTATAATCTTCTCTAAAAAATATCATCTTATTGAGATTAAAAGAATTTTAAGATATATAGTATGTGTTTTGTATCAGACAAAGGCCCAATAAGATAAGCTTAACTTATCGTACCCGCTCCATTGATCCCAAGGTATAAATACCTTCCACAAGGGGTTTTCAGGTACACAATATCTAATCTCCACTTTCACAATGATCATCTTAAACTCTAAACTAATTTGTGCATTGGAGTACTAGCCATGCAATCACCCCATATTTAACCCACCATATCAGAGACTAGCAACACCATTCAAGATCAATGTCTCCGATTCAATAAGCATCAAGATCCCAACATTTCATCCAAGATGTCGCATCATAGAACCTCCTAGGAAGCTTCGCTCCACCATAACTACAATCTTATCCATTTCTGGTTCTACCAAGGAACTATAGGTAATTCTGATTTCAGCCTTTGGTATAGAAAATATGGTGATTTTTTATCTACCAGTTTATTGTGATGCTGATAATGTTTGTGAGAAGATTGAGACAAAAAATCACAAGTGCAATTGGCCAATTTCTTGGAGACTCTCTATGGACCGGACTGTCGTGTAGGAAACAAAACAACATTTCACTATTAACCACTTAAGTTGAGTATGTTTCAGTAACCAATTGTTGTTTTTAAGTCTTTTGGATAAAAAAATGAAATAGAGGATTACTCATTGTGGTACTCAAGTATCAATATTTTATGTGATAATAATAATGTAATCAATCTATCTAAAAATTCAATTTAACACTCTAGATCAAAGTATTTAAAAATCAAGATGATTTAATTTGGTATAAATATTCACAAAAGAGGGAGAAATTATGATTTATTATTGTTATTTTAAAACCAAACATGTGGGGGGAGAATGTAAAATCATTTGTAGGTTGGAATGTGAGAAATATTTTAAGTATAACAATACAAGATGTAAGTGAAACTCCAAGACACAAAATTCTTGAAATGCAGGCATCCCTTTAGACCGAGGAATTAACATTTTCACAATGGTATATGGAGTCTTAATGTTGCACATGAAGAACATGTTCATAACATGCCAAAATTATTTGGAGGTCATAAATATGCATAATGTGTAAAACTGGAAGAGAAGAAGGTTGTTCATGAAAGAACAAGTAATATTGTACTTCTAAAATTTTTTTTGATGACATTGAAGAAAAGAAATGGTCGTAATGAAAAATCTAACAAACATATTTATAATGCACGTCACATAATTAAAAAAAATCTATGAAGGATTAAATATACAAATCCCCCTGCAATGTTAGCGAGTTTAGCTTTTAGCCCCTAGTAATGTTTTAAAAAAAAAACCCCTTTCCAGATTCCATCTACAACACCCCTTAATTCCTCCAAAGATTCATTAACTTTTCCAACATGGCATTTTTATATTGACAACGTGGCTTTTATTTTTATTTTTTAAATCCACGTGGTTTTTTTTGTTTATTTTTAATTTTTACAGAATATATATTAATTAATAATTTCTGTTTTTTAAAATTGTTTTTAATAATTAATGAATAACTTTATGGGCTTTTGGACATTTTACTCTAAATATGTTTTCAATTCTAATATTATTCATGAGTGTTTGCTATATAAACACTAATGTTGTTAACATCCCAACCGATATGGGATTATTTTTCCAGCAATTAACCATACTAATAGAACAACAACCACATTAAACATACTTGCAGGATGGAAACTGAACATGTGAGCCAGATGCTTACCTTAATCAAACATTTTTCCCAACATCATGGATGTCATGTTTGGTTTGTAGCACATCCCATACAGGTTAGTAAATACGATTTTAGTTTGTCTATTGCTGTATTACTTTTAAAAATTTGTTATCTTGATTTTCTTGCTTCTCATCTGATAGCTGCACAATTGGACTGGGAGTCCTCCTAATCTTTATGATATTAGTGGAAGTTCACACTTTATAAATAAGTGTGACAATGGAATTGTCATCCACCGTAATCGTGATCCCGAGGTTGGGCCTATTGATAAAGTGAAGGCGAGTGTTTGTAACATCATTATTTATATTTTGGCTATCATTTATCATTTTAATTTATTAAAAATGATAAGCTTTTCCTGACTTGTTGTTGCTTCAGGTTTGTGTTCGTAAGATACGAAATAAGGTTGCAGGGATAATAGGTGATGCCGATTTGTTGTATAACATGTATGAAGACTCTTGCCCTTGATTATTGTGCTGCATGTATTCATTTATATTTTGTAGAATAAGTTTCTTTTTTTATTTTGTTTATGTTGAAACTTTGAATTAAGTGTATGAGTGATTATTGAGGCTCTTTTTTTGAAACAATCAACCCTATGATTGTTTATTGTAATATGTGGTGGTAACAAATTTACTTTCACAAGATAACTGACGAGTATATGGAAGTGGAAAATGATACTAAGAAATAGTAGTCACACAAATCATTTTCGGAAGGCTTATAATATACTAGGCGGCTTATAGTAGGTGTTCAATTGAAGTTGTCATCACTTCTAAACATAACTATAACGTTTCCATTTTGAGGGGCTGGATGAATATCAAGAGTGGTAAATAGTAACATCATATCATGGGTTGTGCAATTTGACTGTATAATATCATAATATCGTATTCATTGATATTGCAGGCATGTTGAATGTGGTTGTTGTTCTATTAGTATGGTTAATTGTTGGTAAAATAGTCCCACATCGGTTGGGATGTTAACAACATTAGTATTTATATAGCAAACACTCATGAATAATATTAGAATTGAAAACATATTTAGAGTAAAATGTCCAAAATCCCAGCAAGTTATTCATTAATTTTTATTTAAATAATTATTAAAAACAATTTAAAAATAAAAACAAAAATGATTAATTAATATATATTCGGTAAAAATTAAAAATAAACAAAAAAAACCACGTGGATTTAAAAAAATAAAAATAAAAATAAAAGCCACGTTGTTAATATAAAAATGCCATGCTAGAAAAGTTAATGAATCTTTGGAGGAATCTGGCGCAAAGGGAGTGTTGTAGACGAAATATGGAAATTGCGAGGGGGTTTTAAAAAAAACTTTACTAGGGGCTAAAAGCTAAACTCGCTAACGTTGCATGGGGATTTGTATATTTAACCCATCTATGAAGGGTCCAAGGTTAGAAATACAACATTTGATGATACATATGTGTATACTTATAAATTGATTTCAAATTCTGATATAGTCAAAAACATCCCATCTGGACTATACTAAATTGCTTAGTATTTTCTGACTATTTTGATGACGAATTCCACTTATAAAATAATCAAATTCCCCACACCTCTAAAAAATGGATTTTCATATATGATGTTTGAGAAAGAAGACATAACCATTTAGGTTTAAAGGTTTTGACTATAGTATAAAGGTACATATGAAAGAGAAGTTTCACCATCTTTCTTTGAGTGCCAAATTTTTACATCTAAATACATAAGTTTCATAATCAAAGTCATCATGTCCAATTAGAAAAGAGTGCACTTCATACTAATCAATCACAAAATCCTCTTCCATTGTGATGGAACTTCTCAAACTAAGATGAATTGTCTCTTTTTATGCCTCAATATTTTGAAAATGTCATTGATGTTAAAGGAGATAGTCATTATGGATTTCATATTGTTTCTAGACTACTTGGTTGATCTATTTAACCTTATTGTATCACCCATATTGATCTTTAAAAAGAGATAAATAATAACCATCCAGGTTAGTTTCAAGTGTTTGGACTGGAGAACTAATTTGATCAAGTCATAGCACATTCTGACCCTCTACAGATGCTGACCTAATGCATGAGGATAAATGAACGATTATGTCAAATACGATTTTTTTTATTGCACAAAAATATTAAAGTGGTGTGGTTCTATTTTACTGATATGGATTCTCATAAACATATTTTTCGTCATGAGACACACCAAAAGAAAAAAAATGGCTCATTTATATAGGACATATGTGTAGCAATCATTTCATACAAGTAATTTTTTTCTTTCTACTTTTAATTTATATTTTTTGTTGTTGTTGTTGTTGATTTTACCTAGAAAATAATAAATTCTATTACACATGTATTAGAATGTTTATTGTCAAATACCACCTACAAGTCTACTATGAGAAATACACTGTCAATTAAAAGCATCTGATTGTGAATATAAATAAACTCCTAGAATGGTTACACCAAACCATGTAAGGAAATTCCTAGAGTGTTTACATCAAACTAACTGAGTTGGGCTCATGATGATGTCATAGTGTGAGATTCCGCATTCATGATGATGTCACAGTGCGAGATTATGTTAAATCTATGTACATTGACGACCTTGAGAAACATGAAGATAATACAAAATTTGAAAATAGTATTATGAAATAGACTTAGGCGTAGATTAGTTAAAATTTATATGGTTCACTACTATAAAAAGCCATATTTTACCTCGGTTGGAAAAGAGTTTTACCTCGGTTTCACATGTAAGGTAACAAAAAAGCGTCATGAAAGCTCGCCACATTATCCCTCGGTTGTTGTTTCACTGAGGGGAAAGTTGTATTGGTCATTGGTTCGATCCTTAACAACATGATTTTTTAATTTTCAAAATTATAAAATGAACACCACATACCTCTCGATTTCTGTTAATATCTGAGAGAAAAAGAAAGCATTTACGTCTGTTTGAATTAATAACTGAGCAGTAAAACCTATTTTTTTGTCATTGATAAAAAAATGGTCCTACTTGTTAAACTAGTATGGCAAAAAAATAATAACAACAATAACAGAACACATAAAGTAATAAAGAATACAAGAGATTGGTAACCCAATTCGGTGAAACCACACCTACGTCTGGAGGGCACTCTACCTAAGAAAGGAAATTCAATACTTTGAATTATTACATGTGATACGGTGGCAAAACCAACTTTTATACTAGTTTTGCATTTGTATTCGCAAATGTTGCGGTAAGAAAGAGTCGCCACCGACTTTTCTTTAATCCAAATTAAGGAAAGGGTGAAAAGAACAGAAAAAGACCTTTTCGAGAATTTTCTGAGTAAGGGGGGTAGATTATGGAAAGGGAAGGTGTTAGCACCCTTTCCATCCATAGTTTTCTATGGGCTCTTAGATGCTTAGCTCATTTTTGAAACACCTTGTGCTTTGTGTTTTATAAAAGTATTTGAAAATGCCTTAGTGCGGCAGTTCACTTCATGATAACTCTTGTATCAGTCCTCAAGAGTGTTGACAAAGCGAATGTTTTTTTGAAATGTTTTTTTTGTGTAAGTGGGAAATTTTTTTCCAGCATAACATCTATGAACTATCTACTTATACTCGAAAAGGTATGTTCTTTTCTTCCTATCCTTTAGACAGTGCTATCCTACTATCAGTGAGTAGGTAGCCCTATCGTTGGATGTTTCAGGGACATTCGAAGGGACGTTTCTGTAGTCACAAAGGCAACTGGGAAATAAATTTTAGTAACTACACTAGGGCTCTAAGATCATATTTTTACCGAGGCAACGTCGAAAGGGTCATCGAGGGACTTATGATCTTTTGAACCGGAGAGTAACCACTAAAATCTCTCATGTTTTGAGAGTTGTGACTATTTCCGAATGCAACCGAAGTAGGAGTATCCTAGAGGTGTGTATGTGCATGGTGTGTTATGGTTAGTTATTTTAATCTTGAATCAGGTTTGCTAACGTTTGATTATTAGGATCTTGTCATGCAATCCTATTATCATACATCTAAGCAGTTAATATATGTACAAGAATTAAAAGTGCGAAAATGTAAATCCTACGCTATTACATGGCTTTGGGGATTAATTACATGTCTAAAACTTGGAAAAATAAAGAAAAGTGGTAAATAGTCCTAGTTAATTTCTATTACATCCCATCAACAGGTACATTAGTATAAAAAAAGTGGGAAAATAATAACGCGCGCGAATTTATTATAACGTCTAAAACCCTAAAAAATTGCTAAGTAAAATAAGAAAGTCTTTTTGGTTTTTGTTTATTTTAAGAAAATAAAGTCTAAGTCTATTCAATTTTAATTTTAAGAAAGATGTTAAAGTAATTAAATTAATTAGTTAACAAAAATAATTTTAATTAAACAAAAGACTAGACCTAATTTTATGATTAATGTTAATAAAAAAGGAGGCAAGAAATAATAGAAATAAACAAAACCAAAAATAAGAAAATGAAAAGAGGTCCTTCGATCCAGGGAAGGAAATGATCCTTCGATCCTGGGAAAGATATGGTTCTTTCGACCCAGGGAAAGAAATTGTCTTCTTTGATCCAGGGAAGGAAGCTATTCCTTTCGATCTAGGGGAGGAAGTGATTTTCGATCTAGACCTGCAAGACAAATATTAGCAAAAAATAAAAGCATGACCTGGGTGTCGGACCCAGGTCTTTCGATCCTGCATACGTTAGTTTATTTAGGCCAGATATGCAGTATGGGCGTTAGAGATAAAAGAAAACAAAAGTGGACCTGGTGTCAAACCCAGGCCCTTAGCTTTGAATACAAATCGAACAGAGATACATGATATCCTGAGCGTGAATCAAGCACTGAACAAACATTAATACATTATGAAACCATAAATATGAATTTGAAAGTTTACCAACGATGAGAGGCTTCGATTTGGCATTTCTGGGTGTGAATTGGCTAGTGCTTGGGAACGTCTCCTGCAAACTTCAAGGAGTGAGTGGAGCGTTGTTGATGATTCCTTCGATTTGGACCACTTATGAGATTTTTGATAGCTTTAGTATGGCTTATGAGGCAACGTGTACATGCGAGACATTCTATGTGTGTAGTTTTTGGGCGTATGTATGTCGTCTCCAATGGGTTTTTCTCTGCCCTTTGTAATGTGTCTTAGGCCTGTACTTATAGGAGTTTGAGGGGAGTCAAAATGGAAAGGAACAACCATTAACCAGGCTTTGAAGGAAAAATCAGACAACTTAGAGGATTTCCTTTTTTGGATTATCCATGCCATTTTGAAATGTTGAATGAACCTGGACATGTTTCACCTTCAAATACCTTTAGGCCATGCCTTTCGATTGACCTTGAGTTGCCTCCTTTGAATGGATCTAGTTTTATCCTCATAGCTCCTTCGGTTGAGTCTATCTACATCAGTTCGAATTGCTCATATCTTTGATGACTCTGAGTTCCAATTGTTCAGAGTTTCCCTTATCAGGGCTTCTTCGAAAGCCCCTCAGATCTTTACTCTTCGATTGGCTATGACTTGCTCCTCATGGATCCTTCAATTGGAACCATCTATTTTCCTTAGCTGCTTGATTCTGGAAAATTCAAATAGCCAAAATTAGAACTTCATTCTAGCTAGTCGAAGCCTCTTTCATTACTTCAGTAGTACCCCAAAATTTTCCCTCCCATGTTCTTCAAAATTTGTTAAGAATCATCTTCAAATGGTTCAAGATTGCTCAAGAGTTGTACAGTTC